ACAGCTTCTTTCATTTTGTAGGGCGTATAGACAACTGACTGCAGTCCGCTTTTCCTGCGCACTTGAAGGATGGGATCGTCAACACACTGTTCGACTGATTAGTAAAGAAAAATTCAGCAACTGGTGTTAATTTTTTGAACACTTCTATTTCCGATGGGAACCCCGCGAAGCCTCGAAGTTACGCTGTGCTCCAGTGCGAGGTTTAGGAAGAGGACGAGGCTGCAATGCTGGAGTGTTATTTGTAAGCCAATACTGGTTGTTCAGTGCAGTAGCAAATACAATATCACTACGGATGTGCGACAAAAATTCGAAAATGACCATTTTTCTTCTTAAATTGACCCCCACACCTCTCCGACGAGCAACCAATCGCTCCATTTTTTTTGTTAACTATTAGTACACCTAGTCTAAAGACATAAATACTGAATGTAGAAGCAAAAAGAGGCATCGGAAAATTTAGTTGCAAAAGACTCCAAACTTCGAAAAAATTCCGCGACTTTCTGCCACGAATTTTACTTCCATTTCTTCCTCCGGATATTTCGATGCTTAGGCGCGCCACCCCGCAAGGGTAGCTACTTCACATCAGCGAAGGTAAGTTCAGGTCAATTGGATGCAGCCTAGCAACGGTGCGCTTTAGCAAATGCAGTGTTTCAGATCGCTGAGGGAGGTGGTAAACACTGAAGTATCCAAAGTGAGAAACAAAAACAAAATTATTTTCAAAAACTTGTGGATTCTTTCGGAACTTTGGATTCTTTTGCAATGAAATTTCTGATGCCTCTTTGTTTCTACATTCAGATTCTAATGAGGCTCTGGGACAGCACAATACTACGACATACACAAGCCATACAAGTGGACGTAAAAGCGTGATGCGGACTCATTAGGACCAACTTATCAACCCTCTTGATGCTATGACGCTCTAATTAGTTCCCCGTAACAAAGTGCGATTTGTGCTTAGATGGAGGGTATCGTATGTCTTGGAGCACTCTAAATATATAAATCTGTGGGAGAAAAAATCCGGGTATTCGGTACAAGACCAGTTAAGACTGTAGCTCCAGACATATGAGACCACAAAGTATAGAAACAACAACATTCACAAAAAATGAAAACCATCAGATCGCTCACCTTGTGACCATGGTACACCAGTGATAGAGGGAACCAGGTCATCCCGCAAGTGATCGAAGATCAGGGGCGCAGCCGGGTTTGCCAAGGTTTCAAAGACCAGGTGGGTAGGCCCGTGATGCGTTCGAATAGACCGCTGGACCAGGGCGATTACCTACTCGATCCCTCGTGAGGTCAAACGACCAACTGGGCCCACGCGATGGTCAACTTCTTCGTGAAAGCTTTGAATTAGCCGCACGACCCATTGTGTCTCCCGACAGCTAGACCTACTGGACAATTATAACAAGTTGCGGAACGAATGGACACATTACTGGCTTTCGCTCGAGCAACCCGATAATCAAGCGGATACATGCTATGGTGTACTGTAATTTAATGTTCACCCTTTTTTGCAATGCCCGAAGCGCTAAGGGAAAAGGAACGTCACTCTTGTGGCAGCTGTTCCGAAAACGCGCTCCGTGACCCTTTCTAGTTGTTAGACCCCGAACTAAATTCCCTTTAGCAATCACATCCACAATAGTAAGTGATAAGTCTCGTCAGCGCGAAATGAAAAGCAATCAAATTCAATGGACTCAGCCCAGCTGGACTTGCGACACAGCTCACATCTCTCCGATCAAGTGCATATGATTAAGAAAATGAACAATATAGTGAGAATTGTGTAGTGTAGTTAGCTGCGGACGGTTGGGCGTGTCAGTGCGGCTGCGTTTGGCGCGGTGCCAAACTCGTTCTACACCAGTTGTTGAAGCGGGCAAGTGACAATACTGTATCATATCCTTCGTATTACTCGTTTTCTACCACTTTTTGTCGCATGCGCGTTTCAACAAGAAGGCAGAGAACGGCTTTGACGGGGTGACACACTCATACTGGCTGACACGCCCAACCGTCCGCAACGAACTAGAGTGTACCTCTTTTCAATCCATCAGTCACGATCGAAAAGTGACGAATTAAACCTTGAAGAGGTATTTCGACGATTTGAGTCCAGTTCCGAGCTTGAGAGTTCTAAGGACTGCTCTAATCGTATGTAGCGATCCAGCTTCTGCTATGAGGTATTACCGTCCAGTCAAAGGAAAGTGAACATAAACACATCGACATGCCGCGTTCATACTCTGCGAATGTAGAGAACACGAAGGAATGGGCAATGGATCAAAGGCAGATGGGTAACGTTGAACCCCCTCCACCGACTGCGGAGTAGGAGAGTCGGAGTTGATCAACTCCCATTCATAGCGCTAACAAAGCGGAGGGCTGTGTCTTGCCTCCGGAGAATAGGGAAAAGAAAAGAATACCACCCCACCAAAAAGTTTCTGCTCCGGTACAATCCTCCCTTTCTCATCATATTTACTATCTTCTGGAATTTTCCCGTCCACATTTCTTCCCCAAAAAAAACTGCTATCGAGGAGTGAAAGGTAGGCTCGGCTCCAAAGCCAGTACAACCCCCTCCCAGGGAACCTACTGCGTAGAACGTGCCCTACTCACCAAAGGCTTGCAGCACAGGGAGTCCGTCACGTGGAGCCCGTCTGCTTCGCAACAACGTTCCGAGACCTGCAAAGGTCTGCGCTTCAAGCCTTAACTTTGGCTGGGGAAGAAATACAGCGGCATTTTAAAGTGTCCCGCGAATGCGTTAGGCTGTGTTTATACTTCGCACCGTACGCCGGAGTACAGCGTCTATGCCAGAGTGTAGCAGCGTACGCAGCGACTAGGAAAGTACGGATATCGATCTAGCGAACGCCAGCGTTTTCGCGGACAATTTGAGCTGAACAAAACTGCCCAAACGCTGCTATGCGCACACGCTCGGAACTCTGCCGGACGCTGACACAAAATATGAACGCAGCCTAGCGCCCCATCCCGTCCTTTAAAGCATTCTCCCATCCCCGATTCGTGTGTACTCCAGATCGATACTTTTCATTTGCAGACAGGGCACATCATTAGTTGGAGATTTTGGTCTATTCCGTACGATCCCCCTCCCCTCTCAAGAGGTAGCTGGCTTAACACTCTTCCCCTCCCCTATTTCCCTCCTTTGATACGATCGAACTGTTGAGCGGAAGCGGGGGGTATAGCACATGGGAAACAGGAAAAACCGATAATTCAACAACTGGGAAAATTTTTTCCCAACGACGCAAATTTCTCTCGGAAGACAAATACGACCTCCCGTCTCCCAACAACGAGCGTATACGACCCCCAACTCTTATAGCGTCCTAGAAACAAGAAGAATCAACTATTGAAAATCTCTCAGACCAGTACGACCCCCCCCCCACACCTCTTACTAGGGAATCCACAACGACGATATGCCGTGTTTGCAAGCATTCTTCCAGTTCGCGAATTTTTCGTGCAAGGTATGAACACGGCCTTACAAAGACATATGGACAAGGTTCTCAGTAAAACAACACAACTAGTAACTTAAGAGGCATTGACTATTCCAGTCAAAGCGTAAGACAATGCTTCATTTAAATAGCTACAAACCCTATCATACCTGTACGTGAAAACAGCTAAAC